CTGAGGGGGGTTGGGGAAACTGCAGGTGTCCCATTTTACAACAGTGCTAATAATTAGGAGCAGGTGTCAATCTCATGGCACCTCAAACCTGTACTGCCACTTGTCATGGCTGATTTTCTGTTTTAATGCTATCTGTGCGTGCATGTTTCTTTTTTGATTTGCACTCCGAGATGCCACCGTCTAGGTCAACCTTGAACATATGCCCTGTTGCACCATTTTGTAACTGTTTTGGCATGGAGTCCAAAAAAGATTCTCAATCCCCCAAATCAAGAAATTTCTTCCCTGTCTTGAATGGCTGACCCTATTGCTCCAGGTTCTCCAGACAAGGGAACAAACCTCTTTTGTTTACCCTTTTTCAGGTCCCTTCAGAATCTTGTATCTCAATGAGATCACCACCTCACTCTTCGAAACTCTAGAAAGTGTTTTTAAACAACCAGCTTACTCAGTCTCTCAATCATAGGCCATCTCTTTCATCCCCAGAGTCCATTCCTCGTGAACCTTTTTACTGTTGCCTCAAAGGCAAAGTTTTTTTTTAAATGATACAGATCAAAAATTGCAAACGGTATTTCTGATGTGACCTTTTAAAGGCCATGGTGCCATTTGCCTTCCTAAATGACTACCTAAATATGTAACTTTTTTTGTTTCCTTTTTTTTTTCATTAATGATTTTTAGATTGAAGCTTCGTCCTCTTCTAACCTTTTTAACAGCCACTCCCACCACCAGCAATTAGCTTGTGTATCAGTAAACATGATCCATTAATTCAGTCGTTTTTTTTTTGTAATTTTTAACCTGCGGTACTCCTTCAGACTGCAAGTTTCTTGAACTTGCTAAGTAGAAATTTTGATGGTCGCAGTTAGTTCCATATGTGGCTCATTGCTCAAAAGAACAAGAGATTGCATGCCAATAATTTGATGCTTTAGGCATCCTACCGTTCTATGACCGTAATGGACATGCAGCACATCCTGTCCCTCGTGTAAGGTGGGTGGTGTTCGGAGAAGCCTCATTTGGCACTGTGCTCCAGAAATCAAGCCATTACTAGCGAGTACAGGATGTGGAGCTGGTGGTTGGTAGACTGCTACGGCCTCTCATGATTAGTGATTCATGCCAGGCTGTGAGTCACATGCCCATACTCCATCTCCACTTTTTAAGGAAGAAACAAACTTCTTGCCTCGTTTTGTGCCAAGTCTTATTTTGATACCATCTTTTTATGATGTTCCATGGAACACTTTTTTTTTTTCCATTTATATAGTTCTTCAAATTTGGCTTGGGTTCTAAGTAGTTTAGTTTCTTTTTAGTATTAGTTTGCCCATGTTTTAATGTCCCTTGCTTCCATAGTTACAGATCTTTTTGGGAGCACACATTTTGATAATTCTGGCCCCAGTTGAAGCTTAAATGAATTTTGGAACTGGGGTTCAATCCACCTCCTGTATGCAGTTGCTTAAATGCAACCCTACCCCTTCCCCCAATCCTCACCCCTGTTGTATGTGACAGTGCAAGCCAAGATGTTCTGAGGAGGGTAGGCAACTTAAAATATTTCGAGTGCTTCACTCTGAATTTGAACTCCGGCTTCTTTCATGTTATGAGGTTCAGCGGTAACGAGACACTAATTGGAGCAAGACCCTTCATGGCGGAATGCACTTTTTAAGGGATTGGGCAAAGTGGTCTGGGCGTGGTGTTTTTACGATGACTTGTTCTTACTACCAAAAGGCAGTCAGTACTTTTTTTCCCATGGCTATAGAAATTTAAGCTTAATATTTAGCCCATGCAAAATTCCTGAAATCTTTTTTTGAGCAGAGGATTGTGGAAAGCTGCCAAAATTGTTATGCCTTCATGTGACGGAATTCCAATTCTGGCATGTTTCAGTAATTGTTGCTTTGTTATGTATGTGTAAGCTTTATTTTAAGAGTTCATTTCATTTTTCTTTTTTGAGAGGTTCTAAAGTTAACTATTTCAGGTCTTTGCTGCAATTCCAGTGTTTGCATTATTGGAACTCTTTCCACCGCTTTTTTTAAAAAAAAGTTACCAGTGAAAGCAATGGACTCCTCCCTTTGTTATTGCATAATGAGTAACCAACAGTGGAAAAAGTATTTGTTTCAGAGATAGTAGGAACTGCAGATGCTGGAGAATCTGAGATAACAAGGTGTAGAGCTGGATGAACACAGCAGGCCAAGCAGCATCAGAGGAGCAGGAAGGCTGACGTTTCGGGTCTAGACCCTTCTTCAGAAATGGGGGAGGGGAAGGGGGTTCTGAAATAAATAGGAAGAGAGGAGGAGGCGGATAGAAGATGGATAGAGGAGAAGATAGGTGGAGAGGAGACAGACAGGTCAAAGAGGCAGGGATGGAGCCAGTAGAGGTGAGTGTAGGTGGGGAGTTAGGGAAGAGATAGGTCAGTCAAGGGGGTGGGATGAGGTTAGTAGGTAGGAGATGGGGATGGGGGTTTGAGGTTGGAGGACAGGATAGGTGGGAAGAAGGACAGGTTAGGGAGGCGGGGGCGAGCTAGGCTGGTTTTGGGATGTGGTGGGGGATGGGAGATTTTGAAGCTTGTGAAATCCACATTGATACCATTGGGCTGCAGGGTTCCCAAGCAGAATATGAGTTGCTGTTCCTGCAACCTTCGGGTAGCATCGCTGTGGCCATGCAGTAGGCCCAGGATGGACATGTCGTCTGCAGAATGGGAGGGGGAGTTGAAATGGTTCGCGACTGGGAGGTGCAGTTTATTGCGAACCGAGCGTAGGTGTTCTGCAAAGCGGTCTCCAGGCCTCCGCTTGGTTTCCCCGATGTAGAGGAAGCCACAACGGGAACAGCGGATGCAGTATACCACATTTAGCAGATGTGCAGGTGAACATCTGCTTGATGTGGAAGGTTTTCTTGGGGCCTGGGATTGGGGTGAGGAGGGAGGTGTAGGGGCAGGTGTAGCACTTCCTGCGGTTGCAGGGAAAAGTGCCAGGTGTGGTGGGGCTGGAGGGGAGTGTGGAGCGGACAAGGGAGTCACGGAGAGAGTGGTCCCTCCGGAAGGCAGATAAGGGTGGGGAGGGAAAAATGTCTTTGGCGGTGGGGTTGGATTGCAGATGGCGGAAGTGTCGGAGGATGATGCGTTGGATCCGGAGGTTGGTGGGGTGGTAAGTGAGGACGAGGGGGATTCTGTTTTGGTTGTTATTGCGGGGAGGGGGTGTGAGGGATGAGATGCGGGAGACACTGTTGAGGGCGTTCTCGACCACTGAGGAGGGGGGAAGTTGCGGTCCTTGAAAAACGAGGATATCAGAGATGTACCGGAGTGGAATGCCTCATCCTGGGAGTAGATGTGTCTGAGGTGAAGGAATTGGGAATAGGGGATGGCATTTTTGCAGGAAGGTGGGTGGGAGGAGGAGTATTCTAGGTAGCTGTGGGAGTCGGTGGGCTTGAAATGGATATCGGTTTCTAAGTGGTTGCCAGAGATGGAGACAGAGGTGTCCAGGAAGGGGAGAGAGGTATTAGAGATGGTCCAGGTGAACTTAAGGTTGGGGTGGAAGGTGTTGGTGAAGTGGATGAACTGTTCGAGCTCCTCGTGGGAGCACGAGGCGGCGCCGATACAGTCGTCAATGTAACGGAGGAAGAGGTGGGGTTTAGGGCCGGTGTAGGTACGGAAGAGGGATTGTTCCACGTCACCTACAAAGAGGCAGGCATAGCTTGGGCCCATGCGGGTACCCATGGCCACCCCCTTTGTCTGTAGGAAGTGGGAGGAATTGAAAGAGAAGTTGTTGAGGGTGAGGACGAGTTCAGCTAAGCGAATGAGGGTGTCAGTGGAGAGGGACTGGTCGGGCCTGCGGGACAAGAAGAAGCGGAGGGCCTTTAGGCTGTCTGTATGGGGAATGCAGGTGTATAGGGACTGGATGTCTGGTAAAGATGAGGTGTTGGGGACCAGGGAATTGGAAGTTCTGGAAGGCGTGGGTGGTGTCACGGACATAGGTAGGGAGTTCCTGGACCAAGGGGGAGAAAATGGAGTCTCCTCTCCACCTATCTTCTCCTCTATCCATCTTCTATCTGCCTCCCCCCTCTCTATTTATTTCAGAACTCCCTTCCCCTCCCCCATTTCTGAAGAAGGCCCGAAACACCAGCCTTCCTGCTCCTCTGCTGCTTGGCCTGCTGTGTTCATCCAGCTCTACACCTTGTTATCTCAGTGGAAAAAGTATTTTGCATCCTTGTGAATTTTGTGGTGTGAATGTGCTGTGGCTGCTCTGCATTCATGCTTGTTAATATCAAAAAAAGGAGTTAATTGTGAAATTGTCATTTGGCTTGCTGATCAGAACCTGAGAATGTGTGATGTAGGTTGTCATCACCTGTTTTATATTGTTTTTACACTTTTTTTTTTTAATTCTCCTTGCCCTGAACTGGCTGAAGTTTGTTATAATTTTTAGTTCTGTTGGCATGAAGAGGTCTCTTGTTGTTGGTTTTTTTTGCAGCATCTATAATCTGTACAGAACAAGTGACTACATCTATTTCCTGGTTTAATCTCCTTCCTAACACTGCATCATTCTCCTTCCAAACAAAATCATATCTTTACACCAAATTCCCAAGTCCAAAACTAAGATCACTTAGTGACATTTGAGACCACTTCAAGTATAGGTGATATGTTCTGATTATGCTAAAAAATTGTGGCTGAACCAAAACTTGCACCTGCTTCAAGTTGACTTTAACTTATGTTGCCATTTCTACACATCACATTGATCAATGAGCAACTCGGTGGAATAAACTCCTCATTCAAAACAAGGTTGAATTCTGAATAACTGAACATATTTATAGGTGATTGTAAAAATGTAGCTAAACTTGACTGGCAACTTTAAGTATTTGTTGGCATAAAAATAAAATGTGCATTGAAGAATATCCAGCAATCTGTTTGGACTGGGTTATTAGCAATGAAATGTAGGTGTAGATTTTATGTACACATTGTGGGTTGCTGGAAATATGGTTTTTTTTTTTCCCCTTGTTCTAACGGAGTAGTTTTTGGTTTTGTTTTGGAACAGATTGGACCAGGAGGATTTGTGCAATTAAATTTTGACAAGTCAACGCCACCAGTTTCAGAAGGGGATTAAGGCTTCAAGAAGAGACCTGCAGATTTTTAATCAACCTGCTCAGAATTTCTGAGGAAGGTGGGACTTGAACGTGGATCTTCTGACCCTGAGGTAGGGACACTATCGCTGCGTTGACTTTTTGATTTATTGTAGTCACATGTACCTAAGTACAGTGAAAAACTTTGTTTTGCAAGCAGTACAGGCAGATCATAGCAAACAAGGGCATACCAACTGTAGAGCACTTAGAGGCCCACAAGGTTACGCCTGTGCAGGAAGTGCACAAAGCAAGATCAACATTAGAAACAAGCCCTTCAAGAGGAGACCTGATATGCTGACATTGATGTAGTCATGGCCTCTGCTCCGATGTAGAGAGTTACATTCCAAAATTTGTAGACGATCTATGTATTCTGAGGAAAATGATGTAGGACTTTAGAGGGCATCAATGTAAGTTGGTGGAAGGATCAAGAAATAGCAGATAAAATTTTATTGTAGAGAAGTATTCACTTTGGAAAGAATGACAAACAATTTTTTGAAGACTTTTTTTTTTTAAAGACTGACCTGTTCAGTGATGTCTTTGCACAGGTGGGACTTGAACCCAGGCTTCCTGGCTTTTCAGCTTTCCCACTGCACTATTGAGATCTTTTAGAATGACCATTTTTAAACTGAAATAGTTCAAGTGGGTGCAGGCACAGAGATTCCCATGTACAGAAATCATAAGTGACTGGACAAGCTGAGAGAATAGTTAATGTCTGGGCCTTGTGGCACAGTGATAGTTTAACAAACTCCCAAGCCAAAATGTCATAGTCAAGTCCCGCCTCTCCTGGATGTGTATCTTTTAACTTGTCCAAGTGATTGATTTTGGACAAGCATTTTGCATCCTGGGGTTTATCAATAGAGGCACAGTATTTAAAAAATTAAGGAAGTCGTAATTCTGCCAAAAAAAATTAGTTTGACCTAGATTGGAGTATTGCATCCAGTTCTGGGTGCCACATACTGGGGAGGATGTGAAAGCATTAGTGCAGAAAAGATTGGCTCTGGTAGATGAGGAACTTCAATTTCAAGTTGGACAAGCAGTAGTTATCTCTTTTGCTCTCCCAGGAAGTTTGAGAGGAGCTTTGTCAAAATCATGACCAAAGACAGCATGAAATGCTGATATCCTGGGTGGATGGCTGGAGAACCTGCCACCACAAATTTGAGGTAACTGGCAGAAGAAGTGACGTGAGGATTTGTGGTGCTTTGCACATCCCAACCTTTGTGTGGTGGAAGTGGGTTTAACTAAGATTTTTTTCAAAGGAATTGGATCATTGTCTGCCTGAATTGAAATCTTAGGGCAAAAGGCAGGGGAGTGGTCTAAGTTGAATTGCATCTTCAGGGGGTTAGCATTGACAGGGAGGAGCTTAGTGGCCGCCTCTTTGCTATAACCATTTTCCCTCTTCTGTAGAAAGTTTTTTATAAATATTAGTGATCATGACACTAAAGGAACCCTCTTTTCCTTGGACTAGGACTTTCTTTCTTTGTTTGTATCGCCCAAAATGGAGAGACAGGGCCTTGGGGCCTTAGTTCATCACCTAATCTTGCAGACAATGCCTCCAATAGGACAGGAATACTCTGGAATCACATCAAAGTCAGCAGCGTTGGATTGTGAAGCCTTTTGGATAGGGTTTCTCACTTAGCTAAAGTTGCCACTGTCTCTTTTTTTTTCTCTTTGGTTAAAAAGCCTCTAACGTATACTTGTGTGGCACACCACTCACCACATCCTCCGTCTGAGAAACTTCCTTTAGACCCTGTCTATCAATATGACCGCATTCTCTTCAATTTTTAATCCGCCTTTTTCTGTGGTATCTTATCAGATGCTGCATAAAATACACACAAAGCCACACCCACTGTACTTGCTATCCTGCTTTTTTTTTCTCTTTCATGGAATGTGGGTCTCACTGACACAGTGCACTAACAAATACTGGCCTTAATTTGTCCTTCTTTTAACTGTGAGTGGCTTGCAGGGGCATTTTGGGGGGCAATGAAGAATGAACCATGATCCTGTGGATCAGGAATCCCATGTAGGTCAAGGTTGGTAAATGTCTTTAGGAAAGGACATTGGTGACCCAGATGGGTGGTTACAAAATGTGGCCGTTATGGTCACAATTACTGAAACTTGTTCTTGCATAGCCAGACTTGCTGACTGCTGTGGTTATTAGCTTGTGCCTTTGAACTGCAAGTCGAGTAACTCTTGGAACCCGGCCAGGTTTCTGGAGAAACATTTACCACTTGGAGGTATGCTTGGCCCCAAAAAAAATTGATGTTGTTAATAATTCTGTTCTCTACAGTCTCTTATAGTACTCTAGTAACTTTTTTAATTTGGGGGCCTGTATTTACCTACTGTTATGGTCCCGGCTAATGTTATTATTGGACAAGTCTGATCCTAGACTGAAATCCTGGCTTGTGGTGGTATTTTAGTGAAACAGGCATGTAATGCTATAGATCTGGTGCATTTATTACACAAGAAATGAGGATCCGATAAACTAAATGGTTTCCATAAGCACAATTTTTGAGAGATTTTGAAAGTCAAAGAAATACAATCCTATCTATCCCAGCATATTACAATACTTGAGTGCAAGAGAGCAGGTGCTGTTTTACCATACCTTTTAAAGTAGAATTGAGCTTGATAATCTTTTGACTATTCACACTGGAGCTTATTTGAAGTTGGGAAACTAACCCTTTTATGGTTCTAACCAAACACCCTTTTTTTTTGGGTTGGGACTTGTAAACAAAAAAAGCCCTTGCACTGAGTTAACCCATGTCTTAACTTTCTGTTCATCAATTAGTTCTTTAGAAGAACTATTTGTTTCATGCATCAAACTCCCAACCAGGACTTCTTCTGTGAACTACAAAAACTTTCCAAGTTATGGGCTTCCCCCTAGGGCAAAGAAAAATCCTGACTCCTCTAAACAAATGCAAGCTAATGCTCGTTCTTCAATGTTTCTCAGTCTGTAAGTAAAACTCCTTCTCCTTCAATGCAAACCAAACCCCATTATCATGCTTTAGATTATTTTATACTTTTTATATAAAAAGCATGACTGCAGAAATGCTGACTAGTTGATCATTAAACCACCTTGTATGCTGAACCAGTGACGTATGGGTTCTGGGGCAAAGTCCAAAATATCAAATGATACAGCAACAAAACATTTATACCTTTAATATTGCAGCAATATGTCGGTGGGGTGGGAGGGAGAGATGCATGCCTGCCTTGCATCATGCTGCTCTCGCTCTCGCTTCAGTATTTTGCCTGACTTCCCTCTGGATCCTTTGGATGTAAACTGGCTGGTCACAATAATTTATATTTGTTTTGAAAAAAGCTAATGTTAAATGTTTAACCTGTGACTTTTTTTTTGTTTGACACTAATATATTGGTTAGCCATACCATTCCCTTTTTTTTTTTTCAAATCAGGTTTACAAAAATTCTAGTTTCCCCTTGCACTGCACTAAACATAGTTGAGCTTTATTTTCTTAACTATCTGCTGACATACGGTGACCAAGGAAGGAGTGCTCACAGTTTAGAAAAACCTTGCACTTTGCAATTGTGCACTTTCACCAACAAGCCCATAAGCATTCACCTACACTTGAAATTTTCAAGTAGGATTGAAATAATGTATCCTAAGACAGTGGATAAAATGAATCCGTCAATACTTTTAATCGACCTGCTCAGATTTACTTACTTACCACTGCGACAGGTGGGACTAGACTAGATACCTGGGCATCCTGGCTCAGAGATAGGGACACTACAACTTCATCACATGCCCAATGAAACAGTGGGGACTAGTAAATGTGATTAACCATAGAGGAGATCCCTGACTTGAGTCCAATCCCATCCATGGTTCTAGTTTTTAAAAACTCAACAAACTAACTTTTCTTTCCTGTACTTGTAACACCTAATTTTCTGTTCACAAGTCTGAGCACAACACAGGACAAACTGACTGGCTAACAGAACCTGGGGCTGCCTGTATGTGGATTTCCAGTTTTCCTCCTGTATCTTAATAGTGGAATCTTTTTGAGCATGTAGGAGAAAACTCCCAAGTATCTTTTTCAGTGAGTACAATTCTACCATGTTTACAGGACAGTGCTGTCGACCTACTGATGCCTGCCTGCAGGAACCACGTTTTGAAATATTGCTATGCACTTTGAACCTGTAAATGTGACTAATCACAAGAACAGTTTCTGTTGCAAATAGGTGATTTTATAGATGCTGATGGTCAGTTCAGTGAAATTTCATTTGTGGTAATTTTTTACATTCAGAAAATAGATTTATGGCAAACTCTGTTAAGAGACAGGATGGAGGAAGGGGGAGGGACTCTGTCCATAGCAATGACAATGGTGTTTAAAGAGCCTCTTGGGGGATAAATTTTCAGTTGAGTACCAGTCTGGAATTGGCAAACAAATAGCCATCCGATTAAAATAGCACTTGGTTGTCAACTCCCATTTCACCCATAATGTGCTTTATTTGAACCTTCCTGAAATGTCACTGAGTGGAGTGTGGCTTTGGAGAGTCCAGTTTTGATGTGTCCTAGCTGTCTGACATCCCAGTGGCCATTTGGACATTTGGGCTGGTTCATTTTCTGTTTGGGGTATAAATTCCCAATTTTTTTTTTTTTTTTTGGTCTCTCCATTCTCTTCTGGAATGTAATTAACACCATCTATCACAAAATGCTCCAATGAGCATTAATGCCACAGTGGCTTCCTTGTAAATGATACATGGTCACATGACACAACTCAATGCTTCAATTAAAATTTAAGTATGTGCAAAATGATAAGACTAATTGCCTACCAATGTCTCTCTGGCTTATTTTACAGGGTTTCAAAAAGCCTTTTGTTTTCAAACTATTAAGATCAGCTAAATGAGTTCTTTTGTTGAAATGGTTGATACAAGTCACCGTCAGAGGTCCATGATCTGCCCTTGTGCCAGCTGTGTGACTTTCAGATGCTTAAGGGTTTTTCCAGATCCAATCAGCGAAGTATGTGGAGCAATGCAGTTCGTTGACTTAGACGCAATCTGCATGACTGTTTTGTTTTATAATTGTTACGAAGAAGTCTTCACTTCTATCTTTTTAAAATATCAA